CTCGTGGGTCATTCGTGGGTCATTCGTGGGTCACTCGCGCGTCCGTCTCCCGACTATATAACGAGGCCCGGTCTGTTGCCTGCCATTTGCTGCAGAGATTTTCCAGTGGATACATCGAAGTTCTGCCCGAATTTTTGACATTTGTCACTTCATTTAATCAAAGTTAGTATCCAGGATGCCTCTGAAGAAGAAAACCAACAAGAGAAAGGTGGTAAGCCTAGCCGTTGGCCCTTGGTGATGCGAGGGGCGACACTCAGCAACAGCTCGTGAAACATGCCAGACTCCATCCGCATGACCCCCCGAAGTCACCGGCAGATTCCCGCTCCAACTCTTGCATCAAAGTACTATACTGCCCAAACATCAGGCGCCGCTCGATCCACGGCCGAACCCACCAACGTCGGGGGTTTCGCCGGTTCCTGCGCTGCTCCCGGGCCCGGATCAACGCCAACAGCACTATATTATGCTTGTGCTGGAGTTCCTCCAGACGCCCCCTCAGCAGGGCCACGCGTATAGTCGCTTATATAGTGAAACAAGTAACGTATTCTTGCTTGGGCAAGCGATGAAAATATTGGCTCAAAAACCCACGTGCGCTCTGAGAAACCCGTCTGTCTTACGTGTGAATTCCCCATCACGGTGATTACAAGACGGCAGATTCGTGACGCCTACACTCACAGATTACGGGGTGACTATTCGGTGCGATTTTCTTATTGCGATAGTTCGTATTTCAATAGTTGAAAGACCATTGCCGATAGAATTGCAGTAATTGAAATGCCATTGCGATACTATTCAGAACTAAATTGTGTAGTATATTGCGTTACAACATCATCTGTATATTCGCGTGCACGTATGTGTATAGGTACGTTTTCGTTCAATTTTACACTAGACTGGCCCCCTGTCGTTCCACTCATATAGTCCTGCATAGCGAGTGAGCTACTTGAGTAGGAAGACTGAGGATAACTGGGAATTATTCTCATTATTTACGTCAATGACGGTGTGTGTTGACAGACAGTGAAGTGTCTGTAATGAGGTTTAGTTAGATTTACGAGCAAAAAACACACATTTAGTGGTAAATACAGCAACATGAATTTTTAATGTTGGCAACGATTGAAAACTATCGATCTTTCAGCGAACTATCGACAATAGTTAACGATGTTTTACTTTGGCACCGAGCAAACACGATCGCAATAAATTGATAGTTCGATGCAACGTTACACTCCTACCGCGGCCTCCAACCTGAGTTTATCCTTCAGTATACCAGAGGTACGCGCTAACACATACAAAACACTATGGCAATAAATTGATAGTTCGATGCATCCCAGAGCTTCACTGAGCATATCCTGCAGTATGCGGTATGTATACGTACGCGCTAGACACATGGTGTCACGTACACTACACATCTCTACGGTACACTATATATATGGTATATGTGTAGATGATGACACTACACATCGCGGCGTTCGTTACAGGTAACTACCGAGGCAAACAAAGCGCAGCAGGCCGGCGTCAAGTCCGTCATAAAGCCGCTGCCGAACATGCACAAGTTAAAGCTCGTCGACAGAAGCACCAGCTACAACATAGAGAAGGACGTCGGGGCGGACGGGCGGGCCGACGCGCGTCCGTTCGCGACGCCAGCAGTCGTCATCCGACAGATGTGCGGACGAGGGTCGCGTCGATGTATCTGGATCATTCTCGGAGCGACCACGATCTTGCTAGCAGGGCTGTGCCTAGGCATAATTCTTTTTGCCACACGTAAGTGAAAATGCAACGGGGGCGGGGGCGGTTAACGTGTTTCACAGATTAAACACGTTTCACATATTAAACACGTTTAACAGATTAAAATAACTGTGCGCTCTCTAGTTAAAGGTTTCCTATATCCGCGAAGTTGAAGAGCCGCATCAAGAGAGCAAATGCATCGTTGAACGATGACAGCGGTGTATTTTACGGAAAAGCTGGTCAGCAACTTTTTTTCTCCCGTGTAGTGTGACCGTTGGCGTATTGTAGGACGAGATCATGCTAATCTGTTTAAATCTTAGCTCAGTAATTAACACTCTTGAACGCGTTCGACGTCCTATAATGTAGATATATATATATATATATATATATATATATATAGATAGATAGATAGATGGATAGATAGATAGATAGATAGATAGATAGATAAATAGATAAATAGATAGATAGATAGATAGATAGATAGATAGATAGATCGATCGATAGATAGATAAATAGATAGATAGATAGATAGATAGATATATAGATAGATAAATAGATAGATAAATAGTTAGATAGATAGATAGATAGATAGATAGATAGATAGATAGATAGATAGATAGATAGATAGATAGATAGATAGATAGATAGATAGATAGATAGATAGATAGATAGATAGATCGATAGATATAGATAGATAGAGATATAGATAGATAGCTAGATAGCTAGCTAGATAGATAGATAGAAAGACAGACAGACAGATAGATAGATAGATATACGGTGACTGTAGACTACCTATAGAAATTCTACTATTACCCACCGCGCAAAAACTGAACTGCTGCCACGTCTCACATTATTATGAACACGAAGGCCCATGGGAGTGTATACGGCCAATTGCATTCAACATGTGTAGAACGCGTATGAACATAGCAGGTGTTTCCTTATTGTGAAACACATTACATTATTGTGAAATTACATACATTCGCGAATATTCGGGGTTTTCATTCCGATTTCTGCCAACTAATCATAGATTTTGTCGACCTCCGAATCCCTGGCTTTCCCGCGGAGTGCCAAGTGACGAAAGTGTGTTTCAGCATCTTAATTATTGGAGCCCGCGGCCAAGTTGCTAATTCACACTGCAACTGCTGTGCGGGTCTGTTAAGGTTACAAAAGTGTAAACGTCTGAGGATCCTATCTCTCATTGATTCGCGATTTTACGAGACGTTGCCTATAAAACATCTACGAGTTTAGGATCACATTCGTCGTTCCTGGTGAGGGAAGAAGGGCTGAAAGGTTATAAGTGTAAACATAGCAAAATGCGACACGTGTGAGGCATACTGGTGAGTATTGTCAGAGTAGGAAATTCATTAGATCAGACTATAAATAGTCATTCCAAAGCCATGTGTGTGAAGAAGAGGCATGGACCGTCGCCACGGGACGCCGATCCACTGAATTATCCTCTGTGGATTCCAGTAGCTTATCACTTGACGCGCCATTGAGCTATTAAAGTTAGCGATGAACTTTACTTCAAATGTCGATTGAAATCATCTCCTCTATTGCTATATAGATTAATAATAAAAAATGAACAATATATGAAACATATAAATCATATGAAAAATATAATAATAATAATTAAATATGATTAAATATTGGATCGTTTTAGTTCTCCATCCGTACGACGAGCCGGACTCGCGCGTGACAGTGGCGACCACCACCGACCAGTCTTACGTATGGGACGTGAAGAAGCTACACGATAGTAAAGGTAGTGTATATAGAACCTGACGTATTGCACCCATAATGATGACGTCCCATTTTGTTAACGTCCCAGTAATCTTGTTTCCTAGCGATTCATTGGTAATGATAGGCCTAATCCAGCTATGAAATTACGCACAAAGTGAATGAAAGGAACAGAGATGCGAGGATTAGAGAGATATTGCAGTGTCAGATCAATTCATTATCGTGAGAAATGATTTAGCCTGATAGAAAACGGAGATCCTATTATCGTTGTGGGAAATAAATAAAACTATTCAGCTTGTTTTGCTTAGGCTCGAGGCTACAGGGGCTGGCTCGATACTGTACTACAAGGTGCAATGCATCTGATGATGTTAGCGGTGATGAATGCTTAACTGAAACAGATAAATTTTAGAATTCGAATTGAACATAGGCAGTTCAAAGCCTTCTATGGCCATAATAATATCATATTGTTTAACTGGGGTTAGCTAATATGATCGAAGAACCTCCACTCTTGCCTACAGATGGCATATTACAATATAAAGTGACCATAACGTCTATGAAGGGGAACGGACAGGGTCCGTTCCCAGTTTTCCTGGTAAAAAAACCGTGCCATTTCCCAATTTCCGTTCAAAATCAATTTCGCAATTTCGGCGTTCCAGCGTCCCGTGTTGACTTGGATTTTCGAATCAAGAAAAATCACTCTGGCATTTCCGGTTCCCAAATGATTAAAATGGTTCAATACCGCGTCCAGAAAATAACGGGTACACCCGTCGTTAATCAGTTGTATATACGTTAAAAACAGCGCATGCCCTGGGTGTTCATTTCAGGGAATAATTTTTCCCTTGGCACATGGGCGGAGAATCTATGAGCATCACGACATAAATTTTGCTTGTGAAAAACTGCGCTATAGTGTAGTAATCAAAGTCTATGACATCGCGCGCAAAAAATGCACAGGACAAGACCAACATTGGTCAAAGACAGCCATACAAACATTATATGGATCCCTCACGGATATTCAAACGCTCCTACGTGCGGGACAAACGTCACTGAACACGTGTGCGACTCGCGATGTGACTCTATCTGTAGCCTTCTAATTCACACCTGCCGCCCCCCGAAAGCCATCACCCTACTATTAGAGCGGAGTAGGGCCTACTATTAGCACATAGTTTCGTGTGACGTGTGTTTGGCTCATACGACGTCTATTGCGCCTAATATTCCTTCGACATTCCACGATTGCCTTCCGAAACATGCCTATCGATCATATGAGTAGGTTCAGCTCATCTATGTCTCTCCCTTTCGTCCCTTTCGCACCTACTATAGAGTTAATCAACGCATGTTCTATATCAAAGTCGCAACCTTTCCATTCCTCGAGCTGTCTACGATATAACAATATATATATAACAATATATATACGAGAGAGAGAGAGCAGGATGAGAGAGAGTGAGAGAGAGAGAGAGAGAGAGAGTGAGAGAGACGAGAGAGAGAGAGAGAAGAGAGATAGAGGAATAGAGAAGAGAGAGAAGAGAGAGGAGAGAGAAGAGAGAGAGAGAGAAGAGAGAGCACGAGAGAAGAGGAGAGAGAGAGAGAGAGAGAGAGAGAGAGAGAGAGAGAGAGAGAGAGGAGAGAGAGAGAAGAGAGAGAGAGAGAGAGAGAGAAAGAGAGAAGAGAGGAGAAGAGAGAGAGAAGAGAGAGAGCGAGCGAGAGAGAGAGAAGAGAGAGAGAGAGAGAGAGAGAAGAGAGAGAGGAGAGAGAGGAGAGAGAGAGAGAGAGAGAAACACTACGGACATATAATAATATATAATATAAATGTAGAAAAATAGAATAATATGACAATTTTTTTAAATATTTGAATATTAGAATTTTTTCTATATGTATATATATATATATATATATATATAAAACTATATATATATCAATCAACACTGCGCTCAAAAAACAACATATATTCTTTACCCAGACGCACGAGCTCTCATCAATCTGCTCATGCTATACGACACCGATGGCGTGCGCATGTACGTAAAATGCTTGCAGTATAGCCAACTGCCCAATAGATATAAGAAATACAACAACGGTTGTGTGCCAAATGATTAGGCGCATGGCGGTGTAAGAAGGTAGAATGTCATTGCACCAAAATGCGTGCATGGTTGCGAAATGAACCAGGGATAGCACCGTTGTAGACAGGCGGTCTTGAATTTCACTACGTCGCCAATGGCGTGAACCGAACAAAATGACATTTAACCGTAGGATGCGATTGTCAGTGCTCGCTTTAAGTGTCATAATGTTTTGTATTACAAATGAGTAAGCCACCGCTCAAACAGGGCTTCCAGTAGAACTATAATCGTAACAAACTCGCGTGTTGCAAATGTTTGTTCAGTGACATCCAGCCTTGACTGTTATCTGCGAATGAATCAATTACAGAACCGTATTCGGCGCTGCCGAACACGCTATAGACAGTGTCGGCAAATTGAGCTGTTGCGACAATAATACGCGATTTCGCCGAAAGAGTTGGTCCCCCAACGAGTTTCACGTCTACGTTAGTACTGACTCCAGAGTAACAGGCGCGATATTATTACTTTTATATATGCTCTACAGCATTATTGCTTCAAACGTAACAAAAACACAACGTTTTGATAAAAAATACCTCAAGGTAAGTGACAATATGGCAAAATATTATTGCTTAGTGTTTTTCTTGAAAAATATACAAAGTTGAATTCGCATATGCTTTTAATTCGTACAACAATGAGTGCTAAATACACATCCCCTAACAAAAACAGGTCGCTGTGAAAACTTCGTTCAGCCGCTCTGCCTGCACACTAGTCCTGACAACGGGACGTTCGTACCAGAAAGTGCTGAAGCCAACCATCAGTTGACGGCCATACCTCTCTACCTCGCCATGAGCTACCGCACGATCAGCGGCATGAGTTGCTACCCAGGGATTCTGCATTTCCTCTGCGCAATGCACGTTCCGAGATGCGGCCATAATGGAAATCTTTTGCCTCCCTGTCGTAGTTTTTGTAAAGGTAATTTGCAACACTTGACCCCGCGTCCCGTGCTCCGTGTATAATGCATGGTAACATATCGCCGTGTTCGTAGTTAATAGTTTGAATAGCGCACAAAAGTTTGACGGTCAAAGAAAGGTAAATCATTTGCGTTGTTATTCGTATACTCGTGTTGTTACCAACTCAAACTGCGTCTGCTGGCATATATATATATATATTATATATAATATATATGAATATATATATGTGGCATATATAATATAATCTGAAATCTGCATGCGTCCCTATCACACAGCTGCATACAGAGGCTGCGATTTCTTCTTTGTGATGATGGATCTAAGATGGCCGGGTGACATAGACTGCGATGCCCTGCCAGATTCGACGGATCCGAGGATCTGTTGGGCATATGACGATCTCAAAGATCCATCTACAGGTACAGATCAGCCCAGAATACACACACGCACGCGCACGCATGCACGCACGCACGCACGCACGCACGCACGCACGCACACAAACACACACACACACACAAACACAAACACACACACACACACACACACACACATTCACACACAAACACACACACACACACGCGCGCGCGCGCGCACGGACGTACACACACACATTTGGTGTTGGAAATCTCCCGTTTTTACAGAATGTATGAGCGGCTTTCTCTGCGACGACCATAAATGTCTGCAGAGGAGTTGGCGATGCGACGGCATACAGGACTGTGTGGATGGAACCGACGAACTAAATTGCAGTAAGTTGACGCGTTGACATTCACAATACTAAAATATTAAAAACATAAACATTTACGATAAAAGAGGAGTGAACGAGATATAGGCTAATCAAAGAATAAGAGGGCGAAACAGAGTAAGAGAGGTAAGACATATTAGAGAAAACAAGAAAGAGAGAGAAGGAGGGGAAAGAGGGAGCGCGAGCAAGCGATACAGAAAAAAAGGGAGCTACTGTGTTATGAGTATCAGTATCACAATCTGGCCCCTTCGACGCTAGTTGATAACGAGTTGAATACTAGCTCTTGATACTATATCAACGCTGGACTATCTGATATATATCGGATGAGAAGCATACCAAGCCATGCCGCCATTCGATTCAGTATTATACGTACATTCTTTATGCGTATATAATTAGACAATCTACGCGTGTTTCTGACAGGTACCGAACGGCTTTCTAACAGTTTAAACATGCGTGTTTATTTTATTTTACCAGCATCAACACGAATCGTGTAAGCCACCCGACTTTGTTGATCAGGCAGTGAAACAGCTTCTCTCCATTGCAGGTTCTTCCTGTACAGATAACCAGTGGCGTTGTAGATCTCAGCAATGCGTAGAAAAATCGCAGGTATGCGATGGCGCTCCTTCTTGTGCAGACGACAGCGATGAAACTAATTGCAGTAGGTACAATTTTGAGGCCAGAAAAATAACGCTAAGACAGTGTCCGGTATTTACCTTAACGTACACTGTACGTGTGATCTCGAAATTAGCCAGTTGGCGTTATAATCTCAAACCTATTATGTCTAGTTAATCATGAGATCGTGCATTAATTTTAGTAAGTGTGAAAGACAGCTGTAGCTATAGCGGGATATTATTGTTAGAAATTATGCACGTAGGCCCTACAATGTATTATTTTAAGTCGGATACACGATTATCTGTATTATATGTTTATTCGTAGGGGGCTCTATACATAGCAAAGTATTTAGTAACTAATGAATGAACGCACGATAAAGCACATAATTATGTGAATTAGTAGGTTCGAAAAACCAGAGTAGAGAAAATGAAAGAAATAGCTATCTATCTATCTATCTATCTATCTATCTATCTATCTATCTATCTATCTATCTATCTATCTATCTATCTATCTATCTATCTATCTATCTATCTATCTATCTATCTATCATTTTTTATTTGGTCATAGTACGCGTTCCCTTAGGTGATACTTACTTATTACACTCCGCTGATAGTGGCAATTAGGTTAAGTAATATATAGAAGATGTTCCGAAAGAGAGCTGTATAATAGTCAATTCGCTAAATAGATGAAGTTAAATTTGATCGCATGTATTAGCAAGGTAAGAACTATTTCGTTTTTACTTTAATGAAATTAGCTACTCCCGCCCACATGTCTTGTAGTGACTGTTTGAAATAAGTAGCTGAGGAAATCTATTAACAAAAACTAAAAAGAAGCTCTCTTAGAAAAATTCCGACACATGCGCTTCACAGAAACACTAGATGTTTCCCTAAATAGAGAGATGTTTCTCGTCGTATCTTGTCGTACTGGCTCTTTTTCCCCCGTGGACAATTTCCCAACTAATAACCCCGTGAAACCTTAAGAACCTTTGTGGTGATCAATTTGTTCAGGATGAAATCGCGATCATATAATTTGTCTCTCCCAGTAAACGACAAGGACGATTTACTGAAACGCTTTGATAATTTAAAATGCACCATGTTACTTCAGATCAGGCCGCGTTGCTGCTGATTAATTGGGCTGTTATTATATAACGTATTATTACTGTTTTACCGCAAATAATACGGGCTATCGATTTCAGAGCGCCGGCCTCTGAAGTATTCGTGCAGGCATTCGTGCCACTATTTAAAACCGTCAGTTGTGTAATTACAGTAATTTTTAATTGCGATTCTCGAATTTTCCTTCATGGTATACCCATCTATTTGAAGAGGAAATTTTATACTTTTATCGAATTTTCATGCTTTAATATTGTAGACATTCCGACGCTTACTACGGCGTGGTTTAAACGAGCTCATTAAATTTCCTTCGCATGCATGGCGTATGTATGAGTGTGTGTGTGTGTGTGTGTAATTTTCTCGCAGTAAAAATAGACAAGATAGGAGACGATGGCGAAGGAGTGCTAAAGGTGTACAGTGGCACGACATCGCAGTGGCGTGAAGTGTGCGCCGACGGTTGGATGGATACGCACAACATCGTTACCTGCCGACAGCTAGGTTACAGGTGATCACTTCTCATCGTCTCTCTCTCTCTCTCTGTGTGTGTGTGTGTGTGTGTGTGTGTGTGTGTGTGTGTGTGTGTGTGTGTGTGTGTGTGTGTGTCGTCGTTCGT